ACCGCAGCCCTTCCAGTCCTCTACAGTGCTGGTTTTTTTATTTTAGTGACTGAATGCAGGGTCCCGGGTAAGCCCCTTTCTAATGAAAAGCAGGTTTGAAGAGCTTGTTTCATTTTGCATTATGATTTTAACCGTACCTTGGAAAATTAGAACGGGAAAAGATTGTTATTGCGACAAGTAAGAAATTACCTGAAAATATTCACTTCCTGACCTAAAAAAAAGCTCACTGACAGCAGCAGCTGCTTTAACCCGTCCCTGGCTCCTTTCCTCCCTCTTGGGGTATGGTCTGACCTGGGTAATGGCTCCTGTAGAACTTGTTACCCATCTCTCCTTTCAAACCTAGTAACTATAAGGAGAAAAAAAACTGAATTCAGTCTTAAATCTGAAAATTTTATTTTGGCATATATAAAAATTAAGATGCATCCAGAAGAAGAAACCTTATGCGAGAAGCGGAGCCTCAGAGGCTGGTACCTGTGGGCAGCGTTCTCCGCTGGGCATGTTTGTGCCCGTCTGTGCAAGCAGCTCTCCTGTGGGTTTAGCTCTTCTATTTATTATCCTATATTGCAAAATCCTTTAGTTCATGAAAAATGTCTGTTTGGGGTTATGTAAAATCAAGGACCAATCAAGTTCCATGTGATTCATCCCTACAGACTGTGTCTACTCTGTGATGAGGCAGCAGTTATCTCAGATAAAAGTCGGGTGGTTGGAGGGGTTTTTTTGCCTAAAATGCCTTTTTCTGTGCATGCCTACAGAATTTCACCACTTTTTCCAACCAAGATAAACATTCAACAGGCCTGTAGTGAGGCAGGACAGGGCAGAGCCTGCCCAGAAGAAAGCAATGGGTTACTTACCTGGACTTGCCTATTAGTAAAACACTGCTGGTCCTACAGACTTTTAATTTTGGTCTAGGGAACCCCTAGAACAGAGCTGTGCAGGTTCTTCTAGGGAGAGATGTCGTTCTTCTTCCTCTCAGATGTGCATATGTTGCAAGCAGGAGTTCAATGACTAAAGGTCAGCGAATGGCACTTACGGCTAAAGTGAGAAAGTTTCAACGTTTTAAGGGTCCTTCACCTCGGTCTGGCTGAACTGAACACCTTGGCAGAGAGTCTCAAAATCCCGGTACAGTGTTAGAAAGGGAGAATTTGAATATAAAGTTGTCAGTCAGACATTTCAAACGTGATCTCTGAAAATATAGCTCAGAGGTGGTGCGGAAGTCAACAGCTGTCTGAAAGCTTCGTGGCTGCAGATGTTGGAAGGATGTTTTTCTAAATGTAGTGCTGCTAGATTTTGGAATTTGATGTCCCAGGATAGCCAAGGAAAGATTTCATCCTATATAAAAGCCACAAGTAATGTACCTGAAAAGAGAAATTACAGAAAGGACCTCTATTAGAATGTATCTGAGAAGGACACAGGTTTAAAAATAAACAGTGTTCAAATATTCAAGTGTCCACCATGCAATACAGCAGGGATTGCAGAAAAAGGGAATTTTCTTTCAAAAAGGCTGGAGCTAGTCAGCACTTTTTGAGAACACCACCTTGTCCACAAAGAAAGCTTCGATGGGCCATCAAATGATCCTTGCGGGTTGATGACCTTGTTCTTCTTTATGTACTTTATGTTTTAATTCTGCTCTGTATAAGCTAAGCCCAAGGCAGAGCAGTTTGAGGAGGAGAATCCAAGAGGCTGCATCCGGCCTCCTTTCTGCATCGCTGGACGTGAAACCGAACCAGCAGCGAAACCTCTGCTCCTCGGTCGTTAGGACAAGGCTGGCTTTGCAAGCAGTGTCTGCTTTGATAAACACACTGGGTTTAGGTGCTGCAAACAGGTATAGGATAGTAGGGTTTGGGTTTTTTGGCTTGTTTTTTTTTAAGATCATTCAAGTTTATAGAGTATATTCTGAAGCTGAAAGATTAGAGAGTGGAGGTTCTTCGTGAGAAGGGCACCTAAGTACAGTATCTTCAGATAATTTTTTTTCCAGCTGGTAAAAAATCGGTTTATTCTGTTTCAGAAAAGGATTCTGGTTGAGAGCGTTTCTTACCCACTGCCTGTATTTTATGAAGCTTCCTACATCACCCAAATGCTCACTGTTAGTGGCATCTAGTGGGATCTCCGACTTAGCACAGGACCTAGTCTAGACAGGGCAGCATCTCAAAAAGCCACCACGGATGGAGCCTGTGGCCGTGTTCTGGAGAACTTGTCCCGCTCTTGCTGCACCCTTCTCCTGAAAGTTTTCCTGGAGTCTAACCTGAAACTTCCACGCCACAACCTGTGGCCTTGCCATCGTTACCTCATCTTCCAATACCCAAACCAGAACCTCTGTGTCAAAATTCCCAGTCTAACTATACAACAGATCGCTCCCATGCATCAAAATGTGTTAATGAGCTCTCAGAAAGCCTTTTTTTGAAAAAAAAAACACCACCACCTCTCTGTGGGATAATTCTGTTGGTGGCAGCTTCCGCGGGAATCACTACTGACCTAGCAATTCCCTGAGTGAGCAGAGTTCTGTTCTCCTGCACTCTGAGGTCTGAAGAGCTCAGCTCTTTACCTTCCCAGTGTTCCTCTGGACCCCGACCTCTGGTGAGACCTACAGCCCAAGTGGCCGGTCTCTGGGAGCAGCTCCAGTTGAAGATTATCTCTCACCGGCCCTTCAGTATTCCAGCTGGGCTCAACGAGCAACAGTTTTCCAGGAACTTCTTGGATTGCACTGACGCACTGCCCAAGGGTTTGGCTCTCGGCTGATGGCTGCGCAGCTGAAGCCCCCCCAGGAGGACCAGGGTCCGGGAGTAGGAGACTTCCACAAGTTGGTTGTTGAAACCCTCCTTTGCCACCACAGCCGGGAGGTGCTGATCGCCTCCCTGCACGTGGATTTCCAGCTCTTGTTTCTTCGCTGAGCGCAGTGCTCAGGGGTCCTGAACTTGACGGGAACCTCTGAATGCCCTCTCCTCTGGGCTGAAAGGTGGAAGTTTCACCTGCAGCCTCTCCCTTGCTCACCTCCTCCATTCACATCTACTGCTAAGTGACTGCTGTCACACTTAGTTTCTATCCTCATGGTGAAAAAACCTTTTTCTTCTAAGGAAAACTGTCAGTCTTTCTGGGAAAACTGATCTAAGGAAGATTCTGCTTTTCTCTATTATAAACCCAGCAGGATGCTAAGGTGGCACCTGTCCAGGAAAAAGCATCCCATGTCATTGCCCTCATGTCCAGTGTCTTGTCACCAGCTCTTCCGTTCACAGCTGCCACCTCCCTGGTACTGCAAGGGCAGCGTTAGCTCAGTCCCCATCGTTAGTGGTGGTACAGTCACACCTGGACGACTAACATGAATTTCTTTGGCAGGAAACCAGAACCTGTCTTTGTTGTGCTGCTCCTTACTGCTTCTGTGATCACAGGGCAGAATTTTGGCCTGCCTATGCCAGCTCATAACCACTTGCTGATATTTGTATTGACTACAGGAATTAGCTGCTTTAATGCTCCTGGAGAATCACCCTCACCAAACATCCTTGAAGCCCTTTGAATAAAGGAGTTATTTACAATTCCAAGATTATATTCAGAAAAGACTATAAACCACTGGTAGATTTGTTTATCCTGCAAGAAAACTTCCATTTCCTCCTCTTTTAGTGGGGCTGGTAATCAATATTTCTCTTGTTCTTAGTGCCCTTTCTAAAAGAAAAATTGTTTTAAAGTTGCCAGTGAAGAACTGATGGCTAGATCAGGGTATCTGTTATCTGCTGGCTGCCCTCGGGTTCCTTGTTCTCGTGGGTATTTCTGTGCCTGTAAATGAGATCATACTGCACTTTGCCCAGGCAGGCTGAAGATCCGTGCCATGCCAGTCCGTGCCTGTTGAAGTGGTTACAGCAAATCACACACCCCCCCCCCCCCACCCCC